CCAGTGTATTTGGATGGTTTGGTGTAGCTTGACCTACACTTTGGTCTCAAATATGGCTCTGGGTCCCATGTGTGAGAAGCTCCTGTTTGGAGCCATACCCTGAACATCAGCTGATCTCAGGCTGGTCAGAGAATGGTTTCATGTGGATTTACCTGGCAATGGGGACACTTTGCTGCTTTGTGTGGTGGTGAAGTTTAACTTGTCTCGCTTTTAGAGCCTCTGAGAGGAAACTGAATTAACACCGACGTGAAAGTGTCATCCTGCAGAGCCTTAGTGCATGTGTGATCTGAACCAGACTTGTAGGACTGTGCCAAGCTGAATGAAATCACTGTCCCAGCTGTCTTTTTGTGCAGATTTCTCCACATCCCAAATTTTACCGCAATGAGATGTTTTTGTCTGTGTTTCTCCTGCAGGAAGTTTCACAAGAAGCTGGGCCAGCAGGCCTGGCTGGTTGCTGCTATTACTGCCACGGAGTTCCTGATCGTCGTCAAGTACGATCCCTACACACTCACCCTCTCCCTGCCCTTCTACATCACCCAGTGCTGGATCCTGGGGATTATCCTGGTGCTCACCTGGACAGCCTGGCGCTTCTTCATCCGGTGAGTGGGGCTGCATTTGGGGCTGGCCAGGGTTTTAGCAGGATTTGTTCAACCCCCGTCCTCAAATGTGCTCCCTGGGACTGGCTGGGGAGAGAGCACGGCTCTCCTGGGTGGGTTCTGAAATAAACAGGGAGCTCCCTGGGGCTTATCCTGGCAGTTTCCTGTCTGGATCATGGAAAGCAGCTGCACAGGGCCTAGGGAATTAGCAGCCTTCCAGTTTTGGAAGGGACCCACAAGGAAGCTGGAGACAGACTCTGCATATCAGGGGCTGGAGGGACAGGACAAGGGGCAATGGCTCTGCACTGACAGAGAGCAGAGTTAGGTGTGGTGTGGGGAAAAATAAGGGTAGTGAGACCTTGGCACAGGTTGCCCAGAGAAGCTGTGGCTGCCCCTGGATCCCGGGAAGTGTCCAAGGCCAGGCTGGATGGAGCAGCCTGGGATAGTGGAAGGTGTCCCTGCCCATGACAGGAGGTGGAATGGGATGGGCTTTAGGATCCCTTTCAACCCAAAGCATTCCACAGTTGTTTGAGGTGCAGTGCTGTGTGGAGGGGGCAGCAGTGGCTGCTCCTGCAGGATGCTCTGGCAGTGGTGGGAAGAGCCAGGACACCAGGCAGAAACACAAACTGCCAGTGAATCAGTGCCATCAGCAATTGCAGAAATGCCCAGCCAGAGGCTCCAGTGAGTTGTTATCCCCAGGAAGCTCGCGCAGAGGGGTTCCCGTGCCGTTCCTCCTGCAGGCTGGAGCTGTGTGCTGTGTGTGTTGCAGGGACATCACCCTGCGGTACAAGGAGATCCGGCGGCAGAAGCAGGAGCACAGGCACGAGAAGGACAAATGCCTGAGCAACGGGGATGGACACTCAGCCCTGCTGGATGAGCCCAACGGGAGCAAGCTCCGGGAGAGGAAGCTCTGAGCACGGACACAGGGCTGACAGGAACTCATGGTGCCCGAGCGGGCCTGGTGCACAGTCCCAACCTTATCCTACCTAACTCCTCATTGTCCTTGTTAGCGTTCCAGCGTGTGGGAATCCTCGCGGGGAGGATGGCACTGACACAGCCCCCCTCTCTCCTTGTGTCACCAGGGCAGGGCCAGAGGAAGCCTGTGTGGAGGGAGGTCAGTGCTGACCCCGCACAGGTGCTGTGTGTCTTCCTGGGAACCAGGTGTGGAGATGGGGCTCAGAGCATGGCACACAGGGATCTGCTGCTCCACTCCCAGGGAACCGAGAGCTCCGTGGGGCGTTTGGGCATTAGCAACACTTGTTCTGGAGTGAACAGAGACCAGGCACGGGAAATGAATTCTGCTCTTCCTGCTGGAACTACCTGGGGCTGTGGAGGAGGATTGGGTGAAGCGTTCGGCGAGGTGACCGCGGGCACCCGGGGACGTGTGGCCAAGCTGCGTTCCTTGCACAGGATGTACCACGCTGCGCTGCTGTTCCAGCCCCTCCACGGGGCATCCCTCTGACTTCCAACATCCTGGAGCGGCCTGCGGCACGTGGGTGGTGTGTCCCAGCTCTGGGGAGACTGACAGCTTCTCCTTAGCTCTTATTTTTAATTTCTCTTTTAGTCTCGGTCATCTCTTAAATGTAAGGGAAGGTGAAGTGGGAAAGGTCAACCTGCCTTCGCTCTGCGGAGTAAAATGTGTCACAAGCAGAAACCGGGAGTGTCCCGTCAGTCTGGAGTTCTTTGCTTTATCCTCAGCCGGGTTTGTTTTGGGGTCTGACAGGGGCACATCAGGCTCTGCCACTCTTTGTCACTGCCCTATTCCCTCCAGGATAGCTCCAGAGTGAGCTGATCCCTGCAGTGTCACACCCCCATCCCTGTCCCCCTGCCACCAGCAAGCCCAGGCCAAGAGTGTCCCTGGCACAGCACAGCCAGGGAGCATCCTGAGCCAGGCACTGTTTCTGCTGGTGACTCAGCATCCTGGAGAGGGAATTGGAAGCCTGGGCAGCTTTGTTTCCCCAGGTCATTATTCCAAAATGTGAGAGCTCCACTAATCCACATGGATTCTGTACCCTCTGCTCCGAGCCCTCGCGTCGCTGTCCCGGGCATTGACGTCACCCTGTCACTGCTTAATCCAATCTGGCCGTTTTTCAGGGAAGTGTTTATCCAGAAGAAAATGACACAAACACCACAGTACAATTCTGAATGCAACCCCAAACTTCTGAAGTGGCAGGGGCTTGCAGAGCTGCTGCCCAGCACACATGTGGGTTTTTAATCTGGTTTTGTCTCGTACGGGAATGGCAGCCAACATCTGCATTTCTCCCAGCTTTAGTGTCTCAAATGCTTTCCATCTATAAAAAGTGGGCAGTGGGAAGTCAGGAATCCCCAGTTAGAGAGGTGGCCAGGTGACACAGGAGGACTTGTCACTGCACCCCCTCCCAAAGGGCCACTTACCTGCGCTGGCAGCACCTGGTGAGGAATGTCCAGAAAGATCCGGGAGCTTTGACCTCATACGCGAACCACTGACTCATCTGTCTGCATCCAAGGGATCCCAGGGACAGTCTGGATCCTGTCCATGTAGTTCTGTGTGCTAGTTTGTCCTTCAGGACAATGTGTGCCTGTGAGTGCTCTCTTGTCACCTCACACACAGAGCCAGGGGGCTGAGGGGGAGCTTGGGCCGTGTCCAAGTTTTCAGGGAAAAAGGTGGGCTTTTGTCATTGCATACTCACCTGGCTTTAGGAATCCTTTTGTGATCGTCTGGGAGCAGTGCTTAAAGCAGCCTCATCGGGAGGAGGTGGAAGGAAGCCAAGATTCCTCATGGGAATAACGTTTGGTGTGGCTAAAATGGGATGCTGTGGGAGGGCAGAGGTGGCCAGCTCCTGCTTCCACACACAGGAGTGTCCTGCTCACCTGGAGCAGGTCTCCCACCTGTGGTCACACCAATTTCATGGAGAGCTTGGCCAAAGGTAAGTGTTGGCTTTAAAAAGGAGGAGTTTTTAATAGGTGAGTTGGTGTCTGTGTGAGGCTGGATGAATCCAGGTGCCCACCTTGGGAATTTCCAAACCTCAGCCTGATCCGATCCCATCTGAAGCAGCTTTAGGGGTCACTTTTGCCCAGAGTCTGGAGTGGTGAGCAGGAGGGTGCTGGGTCCTGAGCTGTCCTGTAGAGGGACATCCTGCCACATCCCTGGGGATGCAGAGGAGCTTTGGGAAGTGGGCAAGGACCATGGCCTGCTCTTTTCCAGCTGTACCCAGAGGAAGAGCCAGGAAGCCTCATGGAAAGGAGCCTTGGCTGCTCTCCCACCTAGGCAGCATTTTTTTGTACAGAACTTGTGTTTTCTCCCTGAAAATGAACTTCTACCAGGAAATCATGGGAGCATCTCCCAGTGCTGCCCTCCCTGGGTCTTTACAGAGCAGGGAGCCTGCAGCCAGCACTGAGCTGGCCCCGTGGCTGGATGTGAGTGTTCCTGGGAATTACAGGTCCTCTGGAATGTCACAATGCTCCATGGCCTCTGGCCCCACCTTTTCTCAGGTTGTGTGGGTGTTTTTTTCCTCACAAAATCACAATTATTCCATTTTATCCAAGGAAAGTGTTTCTCCTGCTGTCTGAAATGCTCCTTGCTGCCCTGGAAGTCTCCTGACGTGAAGGTGAGGTGGCTGAAGCCATGGGTGTGAGGGCAGGGAAAGGGAAGATCCCACAGGAGGGTGTGAAGGCACAGTCTTCCAGTGGCTGTGGTGTGGTGGGCATGGAGCCAAACTGTCCGAGGGGCTTTTGGGACCAGACCCCAAAAGGTTCCACTTTCTGCTGCAGAGGGAGAGGGATCTGATGGTTTTTTAGGAAGATCCAAAGCCAAGACCTTGCTGGACAGCCCCAGGTGTCCCCATGGCAGGAGTGACACAGCTGGAAGCTGTTTGGGACAAGGGAGAACCCAAGGATTCAGCTTTGGGGTGGTGATCCAGAGACCCCAAGGGGCTCTGTAGCCTTTGAGGGACAAGGGGAGGGGATGTGGGACCCCATGGAGAGAAACACTCATCAGAGTCCATGGGAAGGAGCAGCTGGAGATGCAGAGGGATGGACCAGGGAGTCCCTGGGAGGTGGGATTTGGGGAAGCCTGGTATGGCCAAGCACACAGCAGAGGGTCTCTGGTGTGGGATGAGGGATCCGGCATCGTCCCTCCTCACTCCTGGCTGGGATTTGGGGTGCGTTTGCAGGGGTTTGAGGTGAATTTTGATGGGTTTTTTTTAATGGCAACTTCCTCAGGGAAGCTGGGAGCCTGGCAGGCAAACCAGAGCGAGAGACCCCAGGCTGTGCCGGGGGCTTCGGGCTGGGCTGGGCCAAGCCCCGGGGAGGGTCTGGCGAGCGCAGAGACCGCCCAGCTCCTTGCACGGGTGAGCGGCGGCTCCGCCCCGGGCTGGGCTGGGCGAGGGAGCGGAGCCGCTCCCGGTCCCGCACCGCCGGGGAGCATCCCGGCTGCGGGGGGCATCCCGGATCCATCCCGGGTCCCGGGGCTGGCCTCTGGACCCGCAGGGACCCCCGGGCAGCGGCGGGGGGCCGGGAGCATCGCGGGCTTGGGGAGACCCGTGGATCCCGGGGCTGAGCTGGGGACCCCCGGGCGGCGCGGGGGGCTCTGCCCGGTCCCCACCGCCGGCCGGGCGGGCCCCGGGGGTCGCAGGGTCCCCCCTGCCCCGTGGGAGCGGACAGAGCTCGGCGGATGCCGGGGCCGCCCGGGGGTCCCCGCAGATCCCTGAGGATTTGTGCCTGTGCAGGTAAAGCGCGGGGGCCACCGGTTTGGGTGGGATGTGTCCCCTGTGGGGGGCTGGGGAAGTGATGGGTGAGAGTAGAGCCCAAATCCTTCTGTTCTGGCAAGTTTGGGATGCGTTTTTATCGGTGCCAGGAACAAACTCCATCCCGGTTGTGTGCCCTGCGGATGGAGGGCGGGCAGGGCTGGAAGGGGCTGGCAGAGCAGCGCTGCAGGAGCGGCACCAGCGCGGAGCTGAGCTCAGCCCTGGGGCAGGACAGGGAGGCAGGATGAGCAGGGAGATCGCTGGAACCTGGGCTGGGATGTTTGGGGACTGCAGCGTGCTCGGGGGGTCATAGCCAGGCTGCTCCAGGCGCTTTGGGAACAGCAGTTGGGGTTTCTGTGCCTGTGGCCTTGGCAGCAGCGAGGTGACAACCCCATGAGGACTGGGGGACCCCCTTTTCCGGGGGGACAGGTGGCTTTGATGCTGTTTTTCTCTCCCTCGTTGAGCTGTTTCATTGTCCCTCCAAGCAGGAAAAGGGACCTGGGCTCTGCAGCAGCTCCCAGGGAAAATGAAGCTGCCCTGGCCCTGGAGTGTTGGGATGGATAGAGAGGGCTCTGCACCCCTTTCTGGGGCTCTGCACCCCAAACCAGGGCTCTGCAGCCTGATCTTGAGGTCTGGGGGTGAAAAACCCATCAATCCCTGTGCTGCCAGCAGCAGGAGAGTGGTGCCCCTTCCCTTCCCAATGCCTCGGGCTTGATTTCCCAGGGATTTGAGCAGCAGGTCAGGGGGATGTCAGAGCAGCTCGGTGCAACGCTCCAGGGAAGAGCTCAGTTAACAAAAAAAAGCCATAAATCCTTCCCCGAGCACCTCCACCCCCGTTTCCTCGCTCAGGAGTGATTGATGCTGTTTTCCTAATAGGAAAATACCTCTGGGTTTCATCCCAGTGCTGAGCACTGCAGTCTCTTTCCAGGTGATGCCTTGGAAATCTGCTTAACTTGCTGCTTAGAGCTCATTAGAGAGGGAGGTTTTGGGGAGAGAAGCTCTGAAAGGAAACAAAAACTAGAAATTCCTTCTAATTTCCAGAAGAAATTGGGAAGAGATGAAGGGGGTTTAAAGGGGATGTTTGTCCTCCTGCAGGGAAAGTCAGTCCTGAAAACTTTGCAGTTCTCATATTAAAAATAACTGGGAAGCAGGGAGAGGATCAGAGCACCTTGCTTGGGCACAGGGGCTTTTTGGGGCAGAAAAAGAGGCAGTTTAGGCTAAATTTCCATCATGTTGCTCTGTTAAGATGTCAGTTTTCAGCACTCAACAACAAAGTGGGCCTTGAGCTGAGCTGAGCCCATGGCATGAGCTCAGCACGTTCCCAGCCAGGGCAGGACTGTTTTATCCATTGCACAGGAGATTTGTGCCAGAGGGGGGAGGTGGGGAGGACCTGGGCATCTCCCAGCCCCATCCTGGCATCCCTGTCACTTTGGGGTACATTCAGGGCTCCCCTTCCTCCATCTCCATCCCAAGGATGGACCACGTATCCCTGCAGAGGGGGCCAGGCCAGCACAGCTGATATTCCATGCCATGAAATTCCCACTTTTGCCTGTTAAAATGCAAGCCTGGATGGTTTTGGGGGGAGTTGATCACCCCCACCCAGTGCGTGAGAGCACCCAAGGGAGCTGGAAGGTGGGGCCCAAACATTGCAGAACCCTCTGGCTGAGGCCAGTCCAGCTCTGAGCGGGCTTTGGGAATTCTGGAGAAGGGCTGGGGGGCTCTCAGGGAGGTGTGGGGGGGTTTAGGTGCAGTGCTGAGGTTGTGGCCCCAGGGGGTTCTCACCAGCTCTCCATGGTCTGTGATTCCCTGGCATGGATGCCAGGGAACAGGGGGTGCTGGTCAGTTCCCGTTGGATTTGCTTGTGGGTGTTTTTGGAGATCCCAAACTCCCCTTTTCATAGCAGGAGTAGCTGGCTTGGATAAATCCCCCTCAGCATCCATGGTGCCTGTGCTGGGATCTGCCTGGGAGAGCAGCTTCCTTTCGACTTGACTGGGAAAAACCCCTTTTGAGGGGGAAGGCAACAGGGCTTTCCTACTGCAGGAGCTGATTCCTGGGGAAGAACATCCCCTAAACCCCACAGTGACCCCAAAATGGGAGAATGGGGCTGCCCCTCCTCGGCTGGGCCCAGGGCAAAGCCTCGGGAGAGGCTGGGAAACTGCAGGAGGCAAAGGAAGATTTCAGCTGGAAAATCAGCAAAGGGCTTTGAGGGCTCCTGGAGGGGGGATTCCGCACCCAGAGAGGTTGGGAATGTGGCCTGTTTAAAGGCTGCCGTGGTAAATGGAGCGGCTCTGCCCCTTCCCGAGGGCTCCAGTCCCTCCTTCAGCTCCTGCCGGTGGCTGAGAGGCTTCAGCGCGTTTGCTCAGCGCCTGCGAGGGGAGCCAAGGCCGGGAGCGATGGAGGGGGAGAAGTGATGGAGCGTCCCTGCTGGAAAATCACAAGGCGTTCGGTTTTTGGGTTCTCCCCCTTCGTGCTAACGCTGTGTCTCGCGCATTCCAGGCTGTCCCCTCGCAGGGAGCGTTTGCCATGGACACTGGGCACGTGAGCAGATCCCGCTTCAGTGGTGAGTCCTCCCCAGGGAGCTGGGAAGGGTTTGGGGCAGAGCTGCTGGTGCCCACACCGAGGTTGTTTTGGGGAGGGTTGGCTGGTCCTCGCTGCTTTCCATGGGGAGAACCCTCTGCTCCGTGTGCCAGCTAGATTTTTTTCCCTAAAGCGAGGGTAAAACCCTTAAAACCTCCAAGTTTTCCAACATGAGTGCTCAGCCCTCAGAAACCGGCAGGAATGAGGGGGAAGCAGGTTCCAGTTCAGCTGGGATTTGCACTTGGAGTTCCTCAGAGGCAGGAGCCAGTAAAAGACTATTCTGCTATTTTTATTTTCATTCCCAATTTTGCCCCTCCACCACAGCAGGAGCCTGGGAGCTCTGGCACGGGAAGCCTCCAGCTGCTTCCCACAGCATCCTTGGCCGGGATGCAGGGATAGAGCAGAGCCCTTTGGGGGTTTGGATGAAGCAGGACCCGGGTCCCATCCCAATGTTTAACCTCGGAGACCCCTGTGGGCTGCTCCCGCCATCCAATTCCCAGCTTTGGCTGGGAATACTCTGTTCCTCCTGCTGTTCCGGCTGGAGGAGGGCTGGGGGGAGAGCAGCAGGTTGTCCCTGCGCTCGGATGCCATGTGGGAGTTCAGCCTGGCTTTGGGCTTTTTCCGGCTCCGAAGGAGGGAGCGCTGCGGCCTGGCGGTGCCGGAGGACTCGGCGGCAGCGCTCCGGGATGAGGAATCCTCTCTTCTCCCGTTCTCCGTGCGGCTCGGGGCGCTCGGTGCCGGTTCGGCGCGGCGGCGATGGAGGCTGCTGCAATGCAGCACGATCCGCTCGCAGCCGAGCCCGCCGCTCCCTCCCCGCCCGCTCCGGCGGCACCCGCGGGGCTCTGCCGCTTTCCAGCAGCTTTTCCGTTTGGTTTTTCCCTTCTCCCGGCTTTTCCTGGCATCCCCGGGCAGCAGCCGGGCCGAGGGCGATGCAGATGTGCGCTGGGCACATCTGTCAGTGGGACAGAGCAAAGGCACCCCCGGCACCTGGGGGGTGACACAGCCACTCGCTGGGAAGCGGGGCTGGGACACGGGAGAACTTCGTCTCCCGGGAAAGCCGAGCCGGGGCTGTCGTTTTTTGGCTGGCAGAGCCTCTGCCCGACCCCTTTGCAGCCAGCCGGGTGGGAGCTGCGGTTTGTCCGCTCCCCGGCCCATCCCATCCTCGGAGCTTGGAGCCAAGTTCCCGGCGTGGAAGCAGCCGAGGCTGAAGGCTCCTTCCCGGGGCTGTCACCAGCTCCTTCCCGGGGCTGTCACCAGCTCCTTCCCGGGGCTGTCACCAGCTCACGGAGCCCCCTGTCCCCTGCAGTGGCCTCCAGCCCGCCGCGGTGGGAGATCGGGCTCTACGCCGCCGGCGCCTTGGCGCTGCTGGGAATCGCAGCCATCAACCTGTGGAAGCTGTGGCGCTCCGGGAGCTACCCGGCCCCTTCCCCCTTCCCGAACTATGACTACCGGTACCTGGAGCAGAAGTACGGAGCGGCGTGCCCGGACATCAGGAACAAGGTAAGGGGGGAAGCCGCGTCTGTCTCCTTCCCTTTGCGGGATGCTGGAGGGCTGGGAATGTCTCCTGGATCTCCTCGCGGGGTGGAACAGCCACAGGCAGCAACCTGGTGCTGCTAGAGCTTTTTGGGGGGATCGCTGGAGCTGGGAGCTGCGGGAAGCTCTGGGCTCGCTGCCGCGGCAGCTTGAGGCCAGGCAGGGGCCGGGATGCATCCAAGGAGGCGCCGGAGAAGCCCAGCTGTCCGGCTCGGCACGGAGGGATGGGGTGGAATGGGATGGATGGCAGCGCCTGCTCTCCTTTCCCTGGCAGCGAGGGCTGGCCCCGGGCTCCCAGCGGGCACCAGGCCGGAGCTCTTCATCCCGAAAGAGCAGCCTGAGGGCAGAGGACACCTTGGAGAGCATCCAGGAGCTGGGCAGCCTGGAGCTGATGGGCAGAGACCTGGGCCTGGCCCACTACGGCCCCCTGCGGAAATCCATCTCGGCCGACTCCCTCAACTCCATCTCGTCCATCGGGAACAACTTCGGGCAGGATTTCACGGTGGGGCAGGTGGAGGTGTCCATGGAGTACGACGGGAGGGCGGCCGCCCTGCACGTCACGCTGCTGCAGGGCAAGGACCTGCTGGAGAAGGAGGACGCGCGCTTCGAGTCCTGCTTCATGCGGATCAGCCTCCTCCCGGCCGAGCAGATCGTCGGCATCTCCCGGGTGAGCCCCCCCTCCCCAGCCAGAGCCCCCCAGAGCCCTGTGCACACCTGGGTTGTCCCGGGGTTTTGGGCAGCAGCGTTCCCTGGCCTCATTCCTCAAGGAAGTGGTGGGGTTTGGGAGCAGGGAGCCACAGGCATGCCCGGATCAGGAATGGCTGGCACAGGATTTGGGGGATATCAGCTCCCCAAGGCAGTCGTGGGGTTTGGGTGCATGAAATTCCAGGCTGGATGTGGTTGATATGAGGTTTTGGGGTGGGTCTCAGCTCCCCACAGCAGTGATGGGATTTGGGAGCAGAGAGCTCTGGATTGGCAGAGGACTTTGAGGGTTTGCACATCAGAAACTCGGCAGAGGCAGGAATGTCTCCCCTTGGCTGGGATTTGGGCTGACTTTGTCATCTCCGCGTGTGGCTGGTGGCAAGTTTTCCTGCTTGGCTGACCCTGCTGGGGAAAGGATGCTGTGGCACGTGGAGGAAGGGGCCTGGGGTGGGATTTGGGTGGCAGTGGCAGTTTGGGCAGGTGCTGCTGGTGTCTTCCCATGCCCCACAGTCCCCTGAGTCCCCACAGCAGCCCCAACGCTTTTCCCTCCTCACAAAGGACACGGCAGTGGAAAATCCATGTGGCAGCACTGACAGCCACAATCAGGGTTGGATCTGGTGCAAAACCTCCCTTTTTAAGTGCCTCAAAAGCTGCTTTTGGAAAGCAGGAGCCTCAGTTTTCTTCTAGCAGCTCCTCTATTGCAGAGTCAGTTTGGTTTAATCAGGATATGCCAACAAGGAGTGGGAATTTGCACCCCATTGAGGCACCTCTCCACTGGGGTGGAGGTGCCTCCATCCCCACAAACTGGCTGCTGCCTCCAAAATATTTCCACAGTGCCCTTTTAGACCATTTTTCCATCCAAATCTCTGACTCTTTATTTATGCTCTGGAGATATTTATTATTTAGTGTCATTATTTATAATTCACCAGCACAATTTACCTCCTCGGCTGCCCCAAGGCCATGGATAAAGGCCCAGCCACTTTTTTCCCCAGTGCTTCTGGAGGGTTTTTAAATAGCAGCTCCTGTTTGGTTGTACTTGATCCAGAGCTCCCAAAATGCAGCGTGGGCTGCAGACAGACAGTCTGTAAAATCTGTAGGGCTTTAAAATCTGCTCTTCACAAAGAGGAACTTCATTCCCCTGGGGACTCTGGAGGTTGGTGGTATCTAGTGGGAGAGCATGGACTAAGAAGGCAGGAAGGGCAGGTGCTGCTTTTGTGTCCTTTATCCCAGGGATGGAGCAGGGCTAGGAGCAGACAGAGACAGGAGAGAGTCCTTGGAGGAGATGGACCCTCTCCTGGGGGGCTTTTGGGGTGACAGAGCCCCACAGAGAGGTCCGTACTGCACCCAGATTTGGGTGGCTTTGGGGAGCTGGTGGTCCCACTTTGCTCCAATGCTATCCAGGGCTACAGCTTTCCATCCCACGGGACAAACCCCTGGTTTGCCTGTGACATCTTGGGTGCTGAAACAGGGCTGGAGTAGGGGGGAAAAATCCCTAAATCCATGACTTCAGAGCATTTCCCCTCAGCCAGTTCTTTGGGATCAGCACCAGCAGGATGAGCCATGGGAGCTGCTGCTGCCTCTGCTCCCAGGGAATGACCTGACACAGGAACAATGTCAGCCAAACAGCTCCATTCCCACTGGGCACTTTCAGGAGTTGGTTCTGCTTGGAGAAGGGCTGGGGGTTACACCTTGTAGCCATAAATCCCGTTGTGTGATATGGCCAAGCTGGATGTGCATCCACACTCCCAGGGGCTTGGGATGTATCTGGGAGCACAGAGCCAACGCTGATTCTCTAATTAACAGCATTAACAGGCACTGGGGCAGGTCACAGCCCTGACTTTCACCCAAGCTGAGCAGTTGCTGCAGTCAGGTTGGGAATAAATCATCCCAAATGGATGGGGCATGCCCTGGGGATGCCTCCCCGCAATCCCCACGAGATGGGGCAGAGCAGGGATGCAGCCCCAAGCCCCAGGGGTGCCAGGGCTATCCCCCCTTCCCATGGCAGATCCAGAGGAGCTCCTACTCCGTGGCCTTCGACGAGCGCTTCTCGGTGCCGCTGGATCCGGCGGCGCTGGAGGAGAACAGCCTGCGCTTCTCCGTCTTCGGCGTGGACGAGGACGAGCGCAGCGTCAGCACCGGCGTGGCCGAGCTCAAGCTCTCCGACCTGGACCTGGCCACGCGCCCCTTCAACGCCTGGCTCTACCTGCAGGACACCAACAAGGTGAGCCAGGAGCGTCCCGTCTCCCAGCTGGGTTTTGGGACGTTGTGTGCTGACTGTCGTGTCCCACAGGCGGTGGACACGGTGGGGGAGATCCTGCTCTCCCTGAGTTACCTGCCCACGGCCGAGCGGCTCACGGTGGTGGTGGTCAAAGCCAAGAACCTGGTGTGGAGCAATGGGAAGGTGACTGCAGGTGAGGGGGGCTGCAAGGTGGGGTTTGTCCTGATTCATCCCATTTGCTACACGGGAGTGGCTCCCTGTGAGGACAGACCTGCTGGGAAGGGCCGCCAGAAAGGGTCCCCCCACTTTCTCCACACCGCTGGGGACACGTGGGACTGATCCCTCTCCTGCCCTCCGAGCAGATCCCTTCGTCAAGGTGTACCTGCTGCAGGACGGGAGGAAGATCAGCAAGAAGAAGACAGCAGTGAAGAGGGGAGACACCAACCCCGTGTTCAACGAGGCCATGATCTTCTCCGTGCCCGCCATCGTGCTCCAGGTCTGGCGCAGCCTGGGGGGCAGGGGAGGGGGGCACATCCCAGTGCTCCTCAGGCTCCCCAAACCCACTAGTGGGGAGCACCTGGGGGTGTGGGGTTCTGTGGGGTGATCCTGGGAGCTGTGGGTGTGTGTGGGTCTGGTTGGGATGGATGTGTGGGGGCTGCTGTGGGGTATGTGGATGTGTGGGGGCTGCTGTGGGGTATGTGGATGTGTGGGAGCTGTTTGGAGAGGTGTGGATGTGTGCAAATGGCTGCTGGAGGGGGGATGTGTGTGGGGTGGGACTCTTGGGGAGGATATGGATGTGTGGGTTGGGATACAGCAGGGTGCACAGGTCTGTGGACAGGGCAAAGATGGGTTATGGGGATGTGGGGTAAAAAGAGGAGGATGTGTAAGTGTGGTGGGTGGGTATTTAGGGATTTGAGGGACTTTCAAGGATAGGGGGTGGGTTTGAGCAGGGTGGGGGCACACAGGGCCGTGTGTACGTGGGGTATGGCGGGCTGGGTGGTGATGCACGGATGAGCTGGCCTCGTGGGTGCACGTCCCATGGAGAGGGCACAGGGACACGCGTCTGGCTGGGAGTGCGTGTGTGGTGACAGCCCCGCGCCCGCCAGGAGCTGTCCCTGCGCGTGACGGTGGCCGAGAGCGGCGAGGACGGGCGCGGTGACAACACGGGCCACGTGCTCATCGGGCCGGCGGCCAGCGGCATGGGCACCACGCACTGGAACCAGATGCTGGCCACGCTCCGCAAGCCCGTCTCCATGTGGCACCCGCTCCGCAGGAACTAGGCCGGATCCTGGGGACAGCGGGCCCGCAGCAGGGACTCGGTGACACCCACAAGGCCGAGCTGCCGAGGGGCCCAGAACACCCGGAGCATGGAGAGAGCGGCTCCGTGGGCACGTTCCGGGTCACCCCCGCATGCGCTGGGCCAGAGCTGCCAGGAAGGAGCCAAATGGACCAAAAGCAGCAGGAACGCCCCCAAACCGCGGCTCCCGAGCGTTCCGCGTGCTCCCAACGGCCTCGAAATCCACGGAATCCTCAGACGGGGACTCTGAGGGAGGGAGAGGGGGGGATTCCTTTGGAAGGTGGATTTTGGGTGGGAATCGTGAGGGCAGTGACAAAAGCCAGCCTGGCGTGGGTGGTGATCCTGAGGGGATCTTTTGTAGTGACTTTGGTGCGCTGTGCCAGGGTTGGAATGTTTCCAGTGAGAATGGAAAGAGGGAGCAATAACAGCAGAAAATCAATTGTTACATACGGCTTCTCCTCCCATCTGTTCCCCCACACAGTGAATCCCTGCCCATCTCCACTGCCTGGGATTGGTTTCCAACCACTTGGTTTCCAACCTCTTGGGTTTGAGGTCAGATCCATGCTGGGAATCATCCCCTAAAGGTCCAGTAGGACCAGGGGCAGCTTTTCCCACCCCAGCCACTTTTCCAACCCAAATTCCCTCAGAGTGCTCAGGACAGCACTCCAAATTCCTGCTACTTAACACAACTCTCACAACTGGGGGTTGTTTTCTCCAGCCCCTAATCCTGGACTTGGGCTGTGACTTACCCTAGAACTCATTTTATCCAGGATTCGGGCATAGAGAGGAACATTTTGGCCTTGTGGCCCAAGGCAAGTGAGAAAAGTCCCTCATTTTATAATTTTTAAGCCCAACTCCTGTTTCAGAAGGAAGGCAGAGGAAAAGCCTGTGTGGATCCTGTCTGCTGGTGGGCTCTGGCCCAAGCCAGGTTTGGGATTTTTGGGAGCTAATTCCCACATTGGTTTGTGGAGGGTGATGGAGCCCCTCATGGCACAGGCTGGAGAGCAGAGGATGCACTGGGGCCACATCCCTCCTTGCCTGGAGCCTTGGCTTTTCCCTGCCTGCAGGATGCTGGTGAGAAGCCAGGCTGGGAAATCTGGGGGTGTCTGGGACTCTGTGCCGTGGAATTGGCACCATGGGATGAGCATGGGCTGGGATGTGGCTGCTTGAATGATCTGAGCAGGGAAAAAAGCTGTGAATGAGCCATTTATCTGTTTTTCCCTGACTAAAAAGTAACTCCAAGGTGAGTTATCCCCTGAGCTGGTGGCACTTTTGCCTTCCCATCTGTGCTGCCTGACCTTCCCTTTGGGACACGGCTGTGATGTCCCTGTTCCATCATCCCCCTCTGCTCTGGCTCCTCCCCCTGCCCGTCTCCACTCACTGATGTCCAGATTCCCCTGGCTCACACTTCCTCCTCCCCACTTCTCCCTGTTCCACCTGCTGCCAGGGGAGCCAGTGCCATCCCTCCATGGGTGATGCACAGCACCAAGGCACGAGCCGAGGATGGAGGGGTTTGAAGGTTTTGAAGGATGAGGTTTCCGATGGGGCGAGGAAGTTTTTGTGGGAAGTTGTTCACAGCCAGTACTCACAGCCCACGAGGTTTGGGGGAAAATTTGCTTATTAGCTATCCCAGCCAAGTATTTGGGAAGAGATGGACACAGAAATCCTTGGCTGTCTGGCAGCTCCTGCCATCTGCTGAGCTTTACTTGGGATGAGGTGAGTGACTTCCACAGGTGCTGGAATCTGTGATGTTTAGCTCCAAAAGAATGGGGAATATGTGGGTTAGGCATTTTTAAAGTGCTCCTCTCCAGCCATTCCTATTTGGAGGCACCTTTGCAACTTCTCCTTCATCCTGGGGACAAAAAATGCTGCTGGAGCTATTTTGGGGGTGGGATAGATGGACCCTGTGTGAAGGATTAGGAAAATGTCCAGGATGGACACCAGGATCCCTCCCACCTGCAAAGCTCACGTGGTTGCACCTGCTGTCACTGTGGGCTTTCCCAGTGGGAATCAGCCTCCAAGGAGCTCTGTGGGAAGGGCAGGACAGATCTGGGAAGGGACAGGCAGCAGTAAGGAGGGAGAGACCTCCCAGTGTCACAGGAAGGCTCTCCCAGGGAAATGGTTCCATGTGCTGGAGCAGCTCCTTGTGGTGCCACCACCGTTTGGGCTGGAGGCCTCCCTTTCTCCATCTCCATTCCCATCCCCAGGCACACCTGGAGCAGGGCTGAGTCCCCTGCTGAGCCCCTGGCCCAGGTGGGGAGGGAATGGCTGCAGTGTGCTCAGGCTGGGTCCCTCCAGCTCTGAGCAGAGCCAGGGGATCGCTGGGCTGGGACACATCCGTTTCCTCAGCCATCCTCCCTGGAGCACAGGGTCACCCAGGGTTTTCCATGCCTCCCACGTTCCTGTTCCCGGGCATCCATCATGTGCTGCCGCAGGGACCGATGTGACAGTGACAGCTTTGGGTGTTTAATGCCCGTTTTACCAGCGTGCTCTGGCCCCTGAGTGCATCCATCACCGTGTCCATACGGATAACCAGGACAATGCAGCAGCTCTCCCTCCCCTGCCTCGGCCCTGCACCTCGGGAAGGCTCCCAGCTCCAGGTTTTCCCCCCACAATGGAGCCCCCTATTCCACACATGGAGCCCCCTATTCCACACAGGCCCAGCACAGCAGCTTTGCCCTGGTGGGGCTGAGCTATGGCTTTGAGGTTAAAAAAGCAGGATTCGGGTCCCTCATTTCTCCTTGTCTTTCTTTTTGCCCTTCCTCTGGCTCGTCAGCTCACTGAGCTTCTGGTCCAGGCGCCGCTGGAGGTGGGCTCGCCTGGCGGGATCCAGGGATTTGTCCTTGGAGCCGCTCCCGGGGTACAGGATCCCTTCCCGGCTGATCCGCTGCCGTGCCTGCGCCTTGGCCTTCTCCCCACAGCCATGGACCTGCGGAGAGAACGGGCACGGGGGCACGGATCACCCACGTGGGAGCCAGGGGCTGTCACTCCTTGAGCCTGGAATTCCTTTTGGGCCTGCTTTGCATCCCCCTAAAATCACCTCCCATCATTTACAGCCATTATTATCATTACCTTATATATTATTATATTATTGTGATGTTATATTAATTTATATACTTACATATTTTTATAACTTAAATTCATTATCATTGTTTACTATTCTATTTATTTTCATTTTATTTTGATTTAGTTTCATTTTATATTTTGATGCTATATTTTTATAGATTTATTCTTATACTTATTGTTTAAAATTAATGTTTATTATTTTGTGTTTTATTAAATCATTTTTTATAGCTCCTCTCACACAGAATGAAATATAAAGATCCAGGTCCTGGGCTCTGAATACCAGGTAAATCATCCTTTGGGATGGTTCAAGTGGCTCCTTCCACCTCATTTCCAGTGAACTGGGAAAGGAGTTTTGGGGAATGGGAGATGGTTTTTAGCCATCAATCTGATGCTTTAATGAGCTAAGTCCAACACTGGAATTATCCCTCTCAGGTGAGATCCTAAAATCCGATCCCTTTTCTTGGCCCATCCCAAAGTCATTTATGTTTCCATGGAGTGAGTTCCCAGCCTGTTCCCTCAGAGCTGTGACAGCCCTTCCTGGGACTGACATGGATTTGAATCCCCACAATTGTTGCAGCTTTGTTACAATTCAGCAGGGAGAGGCCATTCTTCAGGGAATAAATCTCCATCCCCCTGGATGTGAGTGACCATAAATACAAGTATTCCTTGCCATGGAAACAGATAGCTCTTGACAGAGGGAAAAGCTTGCCAAGGATTTATAGGGCTGCTGAGCTCCCGGGGGTTCCACAGGGTGAGGAACAAGGACACAGGGAATTCTGAATTGCTGGCCAGGCAGCACTGCACCGTGCCTGACCTGTCCCCAGGATGCAGAGACAATCTGCAAAGGGCTGGGATCATCCTCAGAATGCAGAGGGAACGTGCAAAGAGCTGGGAATTGAGTCCAGGTTCACTTCAGCCTGAAACGTGTGCTTTTCCATTTCTGCTCTCTGCCTCACTTTATCCACAGGGCCCCAGAGTGTAAGTGCCAGAAAATGGTAAAGAAGGGCACAAAATGGGAGGAAAACAGAAAAGCCCTCAGGAAGAGGTGAGCAGAGCCCAGGTGTCAGCACCTGCCAGCCCCGTGCACCCGAGCTCAGCACAGGCTCTGACAGGGAGGGCTCTGCTCAAACTCCCTGCAAGGAAACCCTGCCGGGGGAGCTCCACAGGGAAAATTCCCAGGCTGAGCCTGTCCTGCCCCTCCTTACCTCGGGGATGTGGTGGCTGAGGCAGAAGAGCCGCTGGCAGTGGTGGCAGAGCTGGCCCAGGGTGGTGACAGAGGCCTTGCAGCGGGAGAAGCCACAGGTCCTGTCAGCTTCCATGGCAGCGGAGATCAGAGCGTCGAAATCCTCTCCGGCTGCGCTCCCGATGGCCGGTTTTCCTGGGAAAGGTGAGCACACACCTGGGTTGGGGCCTGGGAACAAACCCACCCTCCTGCAGCCACAGGGCAGCCTCTGCCTTTACATCCTTCCGTGTGGGCCAGGTACTCCCCTCAGCTCCTCTCCCCATTCTTGGGAGCCTCCCATGTGATTCCTGAGACTCTCCTGGGAAAGGGTCTCCAGTGTTTTTCCTCTCACTTACAGAATGTACCTCCAGGTATCCAAAACCCTCTGCCTGGATGCTGCAGCCAGTTCCCACCTCCCTGTAGCTTTCCAAGAGCCACATGTTCCACACCCAAATCCCAAAGTCTGGAACAAACCCACCAGGATTAAGATCCATTCAAGGAAGAGCATTAATTGTGCTGGTTACAAAAAGCTTCACCCACCTTTGGCTTCACTCTTGTCCTTTTTCCTTTTGCCACTCTTGGGCTCCTGCACCTTCCTGGCTGCCTCCTCCCGCCTGGCTTTCTCCCTCTGGACTCTCTCCAAGTGCAGGGATTTCAGGTCCACTTTTCCCGAGCCCTCGCTGCTTTCCCCCGGT